AATTCGCAAACCTATGGCAGCTTGTGGTAAAGTCATTTGCCATTGGCACATCAATATCTAAATTAAAGATGGAATCAATTATAAAAAATTCAGACTACAAGATGTCTTCTCTCCCCATTGAGCCAAAGTTACCCATCATCATAGTAAACGCAGTCATCTTTCATTTTACTTTTTGCTAGTAGAACACAAAACATTTGTCTTAACGACGCATAAGCAACACTGATTTCCATGGACCTGCTGTGTTCCCAACTGACAAAGCAAGTTTTTGGTAAACTGCAAATGATACATTTGTGAATGAGTGGGTAAATACGTCAGTGACTGAATCTAGTGTAAGGAGCTTTGAAGCTCTCTGACGTGAAATTACGCTATATGAGTACAGGAATTTAAGTGTTTTTATTTCAATAGCATGTCTGCTAGTAATCATGTGGAAAGATTCTCTATCCCTTAGCTGTGGATTGAGTTCATTCTCAAAAGATACAAGGAGTTTTGGCCGCCTTCCTTTATGGTTGGGTCACTTTGGATGGAGGATCCTAGGTTTTCAGCTTTGATATACCAATATGGTTTTCAGATAATAAAAAATAAGAATATTTGGACTTTTATGACCCATCTCTGCATCAACATTCTCCTTAAGTATGTACCCTAACTTGCTTGATGTGTCTCTTGATCTTCATGATCCTAAATGTTCACTTAGCTTCTCTAAAAATCCTTTAAACAGAGAAGAGTTTAGAATAAATGACATACAAGTAGCAACTATCTAATTAGCAACTGAGTTCTAAAGGTAGTTGGTTGCACAAGAAAGGGTTCACTTCCCATTTTAGCATTTTTTTTGTATTGTATTTTATTTTTTTTTACAGGGAATCTTTTTAATAACGAGAATGAAAGATAAAATGTTAAAAAAAATATTAAGGGTCTTAAAAGCACTTTTGCAAAAAAGAAAAAATACCATGGTGGACAGCTCAAACGAGTAACAAGTTTAACAGCTTTAACATGAAGTACAGTGTTTTAGCTTCCTGGCTGATGGAACCCAAATGCATTTCTTATATTTTGGCCCTGCATTTCAGCCCACATGGTTTGTTTTATGCAGCCTTTCTGTATAAAAACTTTGAAATAAATCCATATTTTAATTTAATGAATGCTTCCACAGAAAAACAGTAAAGCTGCGATGAACAGTCACTAAAATATTGAGCATCTAATGTCAGCAGATCCTAGCGTAATCAGTACCTCAATCACTGCAACCTCTACCAGCACTGAATAATCTGGAATTTAAGGAAGAAATTCATATCTTTTTACATTCCCCTGTTTCTACAAAGAATTTTTAAATATGCAACACTTAACCAGGTTTCTTAAGATATCCAGTCATCTAAGATCTTGGTGCATGAAACAACAGTATTTGTGTATATTTCTAATAACAGGGTTAGCTAGATTATTCTGTGTAATCTGATTCCAGCATCATGAACTCTAGGTCAACACCTAGTGTAATTGGAGATCACATGTTCTGCTTTTTGGCATGTTTACATTAGCCTGAGAGGTTTCGACACTGGAAGAAAACCAATAATAAAATCATACAGAAACATTTTGTTATAGTAATGAGTTGATGTACATGTACAGTATCTTCACACTTTTCCCTATTTGGGAAAAAGAAGGTAGAATAGAAACGTGCAACCTAATATTGTAATTGTATAAGAAAAACAATATCCTGCACTAAAATGTTGTCCTTTTTCCATTCCTAATTGTCTGTTTACATTGTTCTACCTTTTTTGTGTTCATTTCTATTACAAATACAAATTTGGTGCCAAAAACATATTCTAAAATGAGTCAATCGAATGTGAGCAATATTCTGTTTTATGAGTGGGATTTGCTGTGTTTTTTTTTTTTTTTTGCATCAAAGAAAAACCTCAACAAAGGCAACTTACCTCTTGGTATTCTTACTGGTATGTGGACGTGTAAAGCTTTGATGTCTGATTTGTTATCTTAAAATTTGGTTTCCTATGAGCCGAGGCTCTTTCAGGTCAAAATCTTTGGGTGGTGTCCAGTGCAACAGTTGAAAAATGCCACCGTCTGCCCTTAATCACGTAGCCTCTTGGGATGACAGACATTACTCATGAGACAGCATTGATTTGGTTGCAGTGTGGACAAACAGGGCCAACATCAGAAATAAATTCTCACTTCCCTTTGCTTTATGTTCACCAGCCAAATTGAGACTTTCTTTTGTTTGTGATTTCCTTGGGCTAAATCCTTTCTAATGGTTTCAAAAAAGCATGTGAGGCTTGTCCATAAGCAGTTTGTTCACATTGCCAGGGTTTATTTTATAAGTACACTGTCTTTTCAACATGTTCAATAGTTGTTTTTCCTTGTTTATTACATTACAACATCACATATTTTTGTGTTTTGCATGAATTTGATGTGATTTACTGGAAAGCATAATGGTAAAGTGGAAGGCAAATCTTTAAAGTATGGCTTGCATGTTTATTCAATCCACTCAAGGATCAATATTTTATAAAAATAGCTTTAGATGCAGTTGCAGTTTGACATATTTTACATGTTTGTCTCTTTACACATCTAGCAAACTGTTTGCTTATTACTCTTTAAAAAATAACTTAAGCAGATTCAAATGAATGTAGAGCTTCTATGGACGTAGATTTTGAAGAGTTGTTCCAGATTCTCAAATGGAGTTCGGTGTGGACTTTAGCATAGCCAGTTTTAGAAATAAATATGTCTCAAAGAAACCTTGTCATAATTCTTGGGTGTGCATAATTTTAAAACCCATTCTTCTAAGCAGTGTTAATGATTATTAATAATAAGCCAAAAAGTATGACCTCCCCAGCGTCTTTTTAAAGGAGCCAAATGATAACCGTCTGTCCTTTTTTAGATATCCCTATTAATAGGGCTTCAAATCACTGCAGCTCCTCTTTTGTACCGAGGGCCTCTTGGCTACTTCTTCGACTTCACTATAAGCAAGTCTCTGTATGTGTTGAGTTGTGTCATACTTTCAGTGTTTTAATGATGCATTGAACAATGATCTGTGAGATGTTTAGAACATACCTGGGTATTTTTTATAACCTAACCCTGCTTTAAGCTTCTTCAAAAATTCCTATCTAATTGGTCTGCTGTGTTTTGGCCTTCAGGTTGCCATTTTATCACTAATATTTCTCATATCTTAATCTTTATGGCCCTCCCAGAAAAGCTGTATTCATGCTAGGATCAAATAACAAACAGGAATAACATAATGAATAACCTAATGATTAAACAGGGGCATTCAGATGGTATTAGCTGGATTTTTTAGGAGTATCTTTATCACCATAGCATACCCCAGATTTAATTAATGCACTCCACAAAGACAGCAACCTAAAACATGCAGCCAGAGCTAAAATTGAAATATTGAAATTAAAGCATATAGCATGTGTTGGAATGCCATAGTCAAAGTCTATGTCTAAATCGAACAGAAAATCTGTGGCATGGTCTGAAAACTGATTTTTGGAAACTCCCCATCCCATCTGATCATGTCTGAAAGATTTGGAAAGAAGAATTAGCAAAACGTTCAGTCTCTAGTCACTGGTAGAAACAACTGTTTTAGTATATGTGTCAGTTCAGAGTTCTCATATGTTCACCCATCTCCAACAAGGGACACCTCAATCACCAAATACAATCTGTGCTCAGAGTTTGGGTGTGGTTTGATCCGTGAACCAGGTTTCCGTGTGTGATTAAGTTTCACTGAGGTCTAATGAGTACCTGTGCCCTCTTTACTTTACCTGATGGCTACACAGTTTAAACACCCCCCATTACAGACATCCATCCCTCTCGGAAATGAACTCCTCGCAATTAGAAAAGGTTTGAAGTTACACCTCACCTCCACCTACATAATAACTTTGATCTTTTTGGGCGTCTGTCAGTCCAACAATGTTTCAACTGTGCCTGCTCTGGACTGACCTACCACTTAGCTGTGGATTGAAAAAGTGTATGTGGGAGTGTATGATACTCCCCTGCATTGTGGAATAAAACCTCTAGCAGTAGAACCCAGAAATTTGTTGTAGGCCAAATTAAAAGGGTTCACCTTTATGATGTGTAAGTACACATCATAAAGGTGAAGGGCCACTGGAAAAAAAAAAAAAAAAAGTTAACTGATTTTTAAATAATATTTCAGTTTAACATGGGGACAAAGTCAGAATCCCGACTTTAATCTCAGAGTTCTGACTTTTTTCTCAGAATTCTGAATTTAATCTCAGAATTTTGACTTTAATCTAAAAATTCTGACTTTAATCTCAGAATTTTGGATCTTAATGTAGATGGGCACCATAAAGGAAGAGAAGTCGGAGCACTAAGTTTCAATGACAAAGATGTGAGTTGTTTGGGAGGGCCAGTAACACATTGGTGGAAAATGACGGAATTAGGCGACTTTCTACATGCCCGAGGGGTCCCCAGTGATTCTATTTCATTAATGGAAGAGCAGAAGGTGAAAAACAAGAGACATGGCTACATGCTAACATGGTTGTTAGCTGTCAGAATTAATTTAGAATGCAGAATTCTGATATTACAGTTAGAATTCTGAGATTACAGTCACAATTGTGAGAAAAAGGTCAGAATTCTGAGATTATAGTCAGAATTGTGAGAAAAAGGTCAGAATTCTGAGATTATAGTCAGAATTGTGAGAAAAAGTATAGAATTTTGAGATTATAGTCAGAGTTGTAAGGAAAAAGTAAGAATTCTGAGATTAAAGTCAGAATTGTGAGAAAAAGGTCAGAATTCTGAGATTATAGTCAGAATTGTGAGGAAAAAGTCATAATTCTGAGATTAAAATCAGTATACTGTCTTTTTTCTCATATTATACTGAAATAAAATAATAATAAAAAAAACATTTAACTTTTTCAATTTTTTCAGTGGCCCTAATCCTCTTCCGTATGTGAGGCAGGGCCCCAGATAAGAAATAAAAAAAAAAAGTTGGTTAGTGCAGTAAAAAAAAAAAAAAAAAGTGCTTTCAGCAATATCATTGGCTGAGAGGAGTCTGGCAGGAAAATGCAATGTCCTCTAAAGTTAGAACATTCTGCCCTTATATTTAGGCTACAACTTAAAAAGCACACCTTGACTACTTCAGCCGCAACAACTGTAGGGAAAAGCATCAGCGCGACATGAGCGCCTCTGTGGCCGTATACAGGGACATCTACACGGAGGACCGCTTCAAGCAGGCCTATGGCTCCGAGGAAGACGCGCCTGCAGGTCTGAGGCTGCGGGAGAAACTGGCCGGGAAGTGCAGGTGTTCAAGGCGAGCCTGGCTGAGTTTGCTCGGGGAGAGAGTCCCGCTTATCAGCTGGCTACCGAGCTACAGGTTGAGGAAATGGATTTTAGGAGACGCTATTGCTGGACTGACTGTTGGTATTCTTCACATCCCCCAAGGTCTGTGCGCTCTACTGCAATTTGTTAATATAAGAAATGGTATTTATAAACAAAAAAAAGTCTGAATATCACTTCAAAGTAATGGTTATACCAAATAAATAAATAAATCTCAGTTCAGAAAAGACTTATTTCGCTTAATTAAACCCTGTTCTCCTAAACTGTCAATTTATGAATTAAAAAAATACCTATTATATTAAATGAAAAAGTAAGGAGAAGTTTGCTACTGCTCCAAGCCTGTTTCTTAATTAATGCTCTTTTTATTACAGATATAATACTATGAAAAGCAACTGTTGCATTTAAATATGTACTATGAGGCTGAATAACAGGCTGCTTATGGTTTAGTTTCGCTCGATACCAATGAAAATCTGATTATTTTGTGTGAATGTTGATTTTGTAAATGTTTTAGCAATTATAACTGTGTTAGTATGGTTCAAACATGTTTTTTTTTTGTTGCTTTGTTAATGTCATGTTCTTTTTTATATGCCTTGGGGCCTTTTCTTACAGCAGCTTAATGGTAATTCAGGATTATAACAGTTTAATATCTGAGTCTTTCTTTCTTTTTTTTTTTTTAAACAGTGTCCTGTCTGGCAATGTGGCAATAAGAATAAATGTCTTGATGCCAAAAATAGCCCAACAGATTTTACTTTCACATGTGGAGCAGTACAGCTGTCGCCATAGTGTTCCGCTTGATTTATGCATATAAATTGCTTTATTATAATTATGCAGGGAGTATTACAAATTATATGGACACTGCAATGTAACTAGAACAGGAAAGGAAAAACAGAAAAAAAGGATAAAAGATGAAAGAAAAAGGAGATAAAAGGGAGATAACGATAAAACATCTTCAGTCTGCTTTATCACCCTCAAAGAGATGTAAAAAGAACAGCACAACCAACGGACATGGTACAAGATATACAATAAAATAACACCTAGATACTATCGCTGAAGTATAAGTAGTATTATTTAATCTGACATGTATACTGTGGTAGCTGAAGATAAGAATATGGGCTATAATATCTGAGGTCAATTTGAGGTTTGATCTTGAAATATACTCTTTATCTACTTTCCATTATTTAAAGTCTTTTAAAAATTGGATTAATTTATTTAATTTTTAATAAGTGAATTTGTAAATTCAATAAAAAACAGATTAAATACTCTTGAAACCAAATTAACATGTTTATTTCTATACAGGTATGGCCTTTGCTTTGCTAACATCAGTGGCTCCAATTTATGGCCTCTACACTTCCTTCTTCCCAGTAGTCCTGTATATGATTTTTGGTACTGGCCGCCATGTATCAACAGGTAAAACCTTATCTACATTTCACAGTTTACGCATTGTCTGTAATGATAAGGGTTTTATCTAGTAGACCAACACAAAATAGTTGTTACATTTTGAATGAAAGAAAAAGTATGCATGCTTTTCTAAAGTTTTATGATGATAAATGTCTTTACAATTTGGCATACATTGGTATTTTTTCACACTACAAGTTGGTTCATCGCAAAAAATCGTAATAAAAGACAACCGTGTTTGCATGACAAAATAAATCTTAATGAGTTATGGAAGGCTTTCATGACTGCATGTTTTTGAGTTGTGTTTTTTCTTATGTCCATGATAAAGATTGTAATAAGTCAGACTTTGTCTCCAGGTACCTTTGCTGTTATTAGTCTGATGACCGGTTCTGTGGTGGAGCAGCTGGTTCCAACTCCGCTTGCCTTCAACTCAAGCTCACCTGAAGCAGCAGAGTTTGAGGCTCAGCGGATTGGAGTAGCTTCAGCCATAGCACTACTATCAGGAATCATCATGGTTAGAAACAAACTTAAATGGCATTTTAATTTGTGGCTCAGAATCACAGCTATATCTATCAGCATCAGACTTGATTCCCTGACTTCTATTGTGTCCTGCTTTATCCAAGCTCTGCATGTTTGGACTTCAGCTTGGCTTCCTCTCCACCTATCTGTCAGAGCCGATAGTGAAGGCTTTCACCAGTGCCGCTGCCTTCCATGTCACAGTCTCACAGCTCCAAAGCATGCTCGGCCTGAGACTCCCTCGCCACACTGGGACCTTCTCTCTCTTCAAGGTAATCTGTGTCTCTTGTTTTCACATATTATAGATATTTAAAAAAATTATATTCAAAAAAATTATGCAAATAATAAAAAGTTCAACTGTATCACTCAGACGTTGGCCTTAGTGATGGAGAACCTGTCCCACACAAACATGGCTGAGCTGCTGATCTCTGTGGTCTGTCTGGCTGTACTGGTACCAGTTAAGGAGGTCAACACGCGTTACCGGCACCGTCTGCGCACACCCATCCCTGTAGAAATCCTCATGGTCAGTCCTACAGATAAGATGTATTTTTAAACTACGATGAGCAAGTTTTAATTATTGGTCTTCTCTCCAGGTGATTATCGCTACATGCGTGACCTATTTTTCATCGCTAGATTCCAGTTACAACATTGAGATAGTTGGCCATATCCCTGCAGGGTAATCTTAAAAAAAAAACCAAAAAAAACCACCCATAATACCTGCAACCGTACAGTTTTAAAATCAAACATCTTTTCTGTATTTACTGTAGATTCCCAAAGCCACAGTTGCCTGCGTTCCACACTTTCCCTGCGATTGCTGGAGACACAATTGCCATAACATTTGTTGGATATGCTGTATCTGTTTCACTAGCAATGATTTATGCTGACAAACATGGATATTCCATACATCCCAACCAGGTAAAACTTACTAACACATCACACCTAAACCTGTGTGTTTTGTGAGAATTTTGTATTTGATCATTGTCTTGTTTTCCAGGAGCTGCTAGCTCATGGGATCTCCAACACTGTGTCCTCCTTCTTCACTTGTTTCCCCAGCTCAGCCACTCTGGCTACCACCAACATACTGGAGAGCGCTGGAGGACACACACAGGTGCATGATGTACAGTCATGATCTTATAACTCTGGTTGCTTTAAACATCTGGACTCTATCATATGGATTCCATCGATGCTAGCAACTATTTTAAAACAGAAATTACACTTAAAACAACCAATTAAAAAACTTAGAAGATAATCAAACATTGTATTTTTTCTGTTGTAAATGTCATACATTTTCTTTACAGAAAGTAATATATATTGCTTTAATATAAGTTAATATTAAGGATTAAAAATCACCAAATTTATGATAGGATTGTGAAACCATGGCTTTCTACGAGTCTGATGGAGATTCATTGAAGCTTTAGTAGCAACAACACACTATAGTTGTGTTTTTTTTTTTTTTTTTTTTTTAGATTTATTTGTTTAAAAAAGTGCACTTTATGGCTGCACTGACTGAGGCTTTCTGGCCTATCACTGGCCTTTGAAAAGCCAAGACCTGCAGATTTACATTTTTCTTTGATAAAATTTTTTAAATCACTGACACCATCAGTTTTTATACACTAAAATCACAATACCCCATCAATGTTCCTGTCTTTTATTGAAAAACATTTAATATAATATCCATGGAACCGCACAAACGTATTTTAAGTATATGAGGTACAGGACAGACATGGGCAATGTGGAGTCAACAAGTCATCTCCATGTCATGTATTTAATCTACCCAGCCAATTAACCAGGTTTGTCCAATCTGCACAGGTTAATTCACGGTGAAGATTGGACTCACCTGCTTCAGTGGCTAGGTAGAACCAGTACATGACATGGAGATGACTTGTTGACTCCACTTTGCCCATGTCTGGTACAGGACGTCATGTTTTCAAATATACATGAAAAGTTGTGAACATTGACAGCAGCTGATTTTCAGAACTTTGCAGATAAACATAGATAAGTTTGAATGATAAAACTGGTGACCACAGTAGAGGGTGACCACTGATCTTCCAAAATGAAGGTATCACGGCTTTATGGGTGAACCCCTATTATTTATATATATATATGACACAAGAAATTAATATAGAAGACATGGGAGGTCAACTGCATCAGGGATTATTGGCTTCAAATTGATGTCCGCTCTATCGCTATGCCATGTGCCATTCCAGAACTACTGACAACATTAAGAGTGTCCGTAACAGGACTCAGGTTAAAAAGGAATGGTTAATGCTCTTTGATCCAAAATTGTCTTTTTAGGTAAATCGAAATGTTCGCATTTAGCTTGCAAATCAAGGTCCTCTTGAGGATATTCAATAATATAAATCCTATTAAATTTAAACTCCATAATTTCTTTCAATTTCTTTAAGATTATTAAAACAAAATATGCTTGTGGTCTTCAAGCTCTCAGGCTTCTTCACCAGTCTGGTTGTCTTGATTGTCCTGCTGCTGATCGGACCCCTGTTCTACTCTTTACCCAAGGTGTGCTTTAATGAGTGTCTGTACATAAAGAATTAAAAAAGAACAAGATGTTTCCACTTATCCTTGTCATCTGTGCCCACAGGCAGTGCTGGCATGCATCAATGTTACAAGCCTCAGGCAAATGTTTTTGCAGTTCCAAGACTTACCCGAGCTGTGGAGAGTCAGCAAGCTTGATTTTGTAAGAACTCTGTAAAAATTACATTTTTATGTTGAAAAATAAGGAAAATATAGAACACAGTTAGTTCAGTACTGCAGATTGTTATGCTCCTGGCGATTTGATTCCTGCATCTTGAACTGCAATGTCACAATTGTCAAGTTTCTCAGAATCCTGCAGCTTTATAAATGTAGCCTTTTGTATGAGTCTGTTCACATTATCAGGCTATTATTTACCTTACATTTACATTTGCAATGTGATTTACTACGTTTTGTTGTGATATCTCTCCGTCCTGTGTAGATGGTTTGGGTTGTAACCTGGCTGTCTGTGGTGGTGTTGAATGTGGACCTTGGATTGGCTATCGGCGTGGTTTTCTCTATGATGACTGTGATCTGTCGAACACAAAGGTAGTGCTTTTTTCCCTGTTAGTAAGTACAGAGAATATTTCAAGTAACTCAGACTAAATGCTGTTGCTGCCACCCTAAAACTGCAACCTTTGAATTTATTTGTTTCTGAGATTTGTGTTATGATGTGATAATGATTATTTTAAGTGAATAACTTTCTGAAATCTGATATGCATGTGTTTTCTCTATCCTGAAATTATCAAATAAAGTTGCTTGCAACATGTTTTTCTTCAAATTGTGAAGGCCTCAGATGTTTGTTGAAGAGCATTAGCAGGCAAACGTGTGATGAAGAGAAAGAGTCACAGCAGGCGGGTTCAGAATACAGCAGTGGAGCATCTTAATGCAGATTATATAGTAGGCTTCAAATATCTCATTGTGGACTTTTAAATGGGCTCCACGATGATGCAGTTTGCTGCACTATTCCCTTGCAACATGGTCTTTCTTTTTGCAATGAATTTGCATGTTCTCCCAGTGCATGTGTGGGTTCTCTCTGGGTACTCTGGCTTCCTCCCACAGTCCAAAAACATGACTCTCAGGTTTATTGGGTATTTGTCAGAGAGGCAGCAAAGAGGCCCATGGCAGCTCAGAAGGAGATACATAAAGCCACAGTACAGTTGGGTGGAAGAAAACATGCTCATGTTATGTTAAAGGGTTTGAATGGTATTCACAGCCCTTTACTAGATGCAATTTAAGCAAACCGTTCATCCTTTGACAGGGCTGAATGCTCAGTCCTTGGGCAGGCAAGCAATACAGAAATATACAGACCTCTGGAGAATCACAGCAAGGTGAGTGAAGTTTGTTATTTTTTTTTCAATTGTTGAAACCAAATGGTCTGCTTAAAATTTGAGTGAATTTGTCTGACAGTATCTGCTAAATGAAAGACATTCCGAAATCTTAGAGATTATTTGGCAGTTTATCCGAAAAATAAGGTTTGAGATCTGGGTTTTTCATCCCATACAGTGCTATGAAGTACCGGGAGTGAAGATCCTGATGTACAATGGGCCAATTTACTATGGGAATCGCAGCTTTTTCAGGGAGAAAATGAGCAGAGTTTTGGGTCTGACGCCAGAAAAGATCCGCAGTCGGGAAAAGGCCAGAAAAGCTTTAGAAAAGCGGGAGAGAGAGGCCTCTGTCAACACTGTGGTATGACTTGTCAGTTACCACTAATTAGAACAACCATTATCATTGTATAATATTCAACTCTCTTTTTATTTTCTTCCTATATTAAGGAGAGGGGAGTTGCAAACACATCATTTTCCTCAGTAAATGAGTTCTTTGAAACAGGTGAATAGTTTCTTTGTAAAGACCCGCTAGTTTGGATTTTCTGTAACTGCAGACTTCAAGAAGTTATGTCATTTCACCCAGCAGAAACATCAGAAAAAGATGTCCAGGCTGTTTTGATTGACTGCAGCGGAGTGATATTTGTTGATGTTGCTGGAGCGAGACTCTTCACACAGGTAAGTCTGCAACAAAAACATTAAGGTTGCACCTTATGTCACATGGTTCAGCCCCTGATTAAGGTGTTGTTGTTTTCTTTTGATTACTTGCAGATGTGCACAGAGTGCCACAAAATTGGAATTCACGTTTATTTGGCAACTTGCAATGGTATTGTTTTTCAGTGTTAGAATTTTCCTAGTAGTGTGTTTTCACTATTATATTGAAGCGTAGAGCATAATGCTTTAAATGTCTTCATTTTGTACCCTTTTAGAGAGTGTTTTAAAGATCCTGACATCTAGTGGCCTGATGAGACACATGAATCCTCAACATATTTTTGTTACCGTTCATGATGCTGTCATGTACATTCAGCAGCAGAGGGTAAAAATTCATCATGAATATACACTATATTGCCAAAAGTATTTGCTCACCTGCCTTGACTCACATATGAGCTTAAGTGACATCCCGTTCCTAATCCATAGGGTTCAATATGATGTCGGTCCACCCTTTGCAGCTAGAACAGCTTCAACTCTTCTGGGAAGGCTGTCCACAAGGTTTAGGAGTGTGTTTATGGGAATTTTTGACCATTCTTCCAGAAGCGCATTTGTGAGGTCGCACACTGATGTTGGACGAGAAGGCCTGGCTCTCAGTCTCCGCTCTAATTCATCCCAAAGGTGTTCTATCGGGTTGAGGTCAGGACTCTGTGCAGGCCAGTCAAGTTCATCCACACCAGACTCTGTCATCCATGTCTTTATGGACCTTGCTTTGTGCACTGGTGCACAGTCATGTTGGAAGAGGAAGGGGCCAGCTCCAAACTGTTCCCACAAAGTTGGGAGCATGGAATTGTCCAAAATGTCTTGGTATGCTGAAGCATTCAGAGTTCCTTTCACTGGAACTAAGGGGCCAAGCCCAGCTCCTGAAAAACAACCCCACACCATAATCCCCCCTCCACCAAACTTTACACTTGGCACAATGCAGTCAGACAAGTACCGTTCTCCTGGCAACCGCCAAACCCAGACCCGTCCATCAGATTGCCAGATGGAGAAGCGCGATTCGTCACTCCAGAGAACGCGTCTCCACTGCTCTAGAGTCCAGTGGCGGCGTGCTTTACACCACCGCATCCGACGCTTTGCATTGCACTTGGTGATGTATGGCTTGGATGCAGCTGCTCGACCATGGAAACCCATTCCATGAAGCTCTCTGCGCACTGTTCTTGAGCTAATCTGAAGGCCACATGAAGTTTGGAGGTCTGTAGTGATTGACTCTGCAGAAAGTTGGCGACCTCTTCGCACTATGCGCGTCAGCATCCGCTGACCCCGCTCCGTCAGTTTACGTGGCCTACCACTTCGTGGCTGAGTTGCTGTCGTTCCCAAACACTTCCATTTTCTTATAATACAGCTGACAGTTGACTGTGGAATATTTAGGAGCGAGGAAATTTCACGACTGGATTTGTTGCACAGGTGGCATCCTATCACAGTTCCACGCTGGAATTCACTGAGCTCCTGAGAGCGACCCATTCTTTCACAAATGTTTGTAAAAACAGTCTGCATGCCTAGGTGCTTGAATTTATACACCTGTGGCCATGGAAGTGATTGGAACACCTGATTCCAATAATTTGGATGGGTGAGCAAATACTTTTGGCAATATAGTGTATGTGTATCACCAAGTATATATACATCTACACTGCCAATGGTATTTGCTCACCAATCTAGATTATTGGAACCAGATGTCCCAATCGCTTCAATGGCAACAGGTATAGAAAATAAGCTCCTAGACATGCAGATTGTTGCTACAAACATTACTGAAAGACTGGGTCACTCCCAGGAGTTCAATGAATATTAGTGTAGATGCAACAAATCCAGTCATGAAATTCCCTCGATCCTAAATATTCTACAGTTAACTGTCAGCTATATCTTAAGAAAATGGAAGTGTTTGGGGAAGACAGCAACTCAGCCATTTAAGCTGTGGGAGCGAGGTCAGCAGAAGCTGAAACACATAGTGTGAGGATGTTGCCAACCATTTGCTGAGTCGATCCTACACACCTACAAACTTCATGTGGCCTTTAGAACAGTGAGCATAGAGCTTCATGGAATGAATTCCCATGATCCAGCAGCTGCATCCAAGCTATACTGTACATGCCTTGCATGCGCAGTGAAATGCAAAGCATCAGATGCAGTGATGTAAAGCACGTCACTACTGGACACCAGAGCAGTAAAGAAAACGTTCTCTGGATTGACGAATCCTGCTTCTCCATCTTGAAATCTGGCAGATTTCTGTTCCTGTGGTACTACATTGTGCCAAGTATAAAGTTTGGTGGAGGGGCAATTATGCTGTAGTTTTTTTTTTAAGAGCTAGGCTTGGCCCCTTAAGCCTCTTCCCCAATGAAAATACTGGGATAACCCATTTCAAACATGGGTCGACGCGTCACCAATCGGCATTTGGCTCCCTTCTCATTGGCAAAAAATCTGGGTCTAACCCCCCCCTTTATGTGGGCTCTGTCCCTCCACAGCTGGGTTGCTAATGACACCATCAAGCCGGGTTAGCATTGATGATGTCACCAGTGCGACAGAAATCAGGAAAGTAAATACTGGAAAGCAACATGTAAGGAAGCCAGGCTGAAGTAAGTATGCTTTATCGTTTCGCTCTTTTATCTGTCCGAATCCCTCTCACCAGTGTTCCGCCATGTAAGCAGATTTGTTTCGGCTTGCTGGATCAGAAGCTACTGGCATAGTGTGTTGACGTTTGTACGTTGTGGTATAATTTAGCGGGTCAACACAGCTCTGGTGTTCCCACAGCATGCCGATCAGAGCCGAGGCGATTTTAACGTGGGTCGCTTGCCGAGGCCATTTTATCCAGGTAGACACGTTTCAATGAGCTGTTCCCATTGCCCGGGTTTAAACTGGGTTTTCGGCCAGTGTGAGCAAATACTTTTGGCTATACATATTATATATATATATACATATTATATATATATATATATATATATATATATATATATATATATATATATATATATATATATATATATATATATATAGAGAGAGAGAGAGAGAGAGAGAGAGAGAGAGAGAGAGAGAGAGGCATTTATTTAACACTGCTTTCCTCTGTCATAGGAAAAACCGCCAGAAAACACCAAAACAGTTTGGGTATGAACCAAGGGAACAACGTCTCTGACTATGATATCACCTACTAAGTTGCAGAAAACAGCTGATTCAGACTGGACTGTATGGACGTATTTCAAAGTGACAATGGCCTGTTTTATCATCATCTGTATATTTTAATTTACAGTTTAGTTACATTTCAACATTAACAATTATTTTTGACAGATGTAGCACTCTGCTGGCACATTTAAATCCTAGCTGGATTTAACTGAAGTAGAGGCAGTTCCTAAACACTGTAGAAATGTTTCAGACATACTCTTAATTAGGCATTGTAACAGGTATATAGTTCTAGATTTCAGATTTGAAATATTTATTACCCTTGTGTTTGTTGTTAGCTTTGTAATAAAATACCATAGTGCACAGAAGAGTTTTTTTTTGATAAAAGCTTAAATGTGAAACTGTACAGTGAGTACTGTATCATAATTCTTTTCCTCATCTAGAGTTTGCAAGCACAATATTTCTAAAATTACCATTGCACATTCTTCTAGCAGCTTTGATGACGATACATTAGGACCATTGAATGGAGGTAAACCAATGGCTTACATCACTCAGACCACACAATCTCCATGGCAACACATGGTAAGGGCAACATTATACCATGGGTGTCCTCCGGCTGGGAATCTGGTCAGAGATGGAGGGCCACCCCAGAGAAATGCTTGGGAAGAGCCACAAATTGTACTTTGAATGGAAGTTTACCCTTCACCAGAACAGTTACTCCAAAAATACACCCATAATTGATAAGAACAGGTTTTTGATCAAAACACATTCATGTGTTAGAATCTCCTTATCAAATGCAAACCTAAAACTAATTGATTATCCATTTTTCAACAAAGAATGCTTAAAAAAATCAGCATCTAGATATGCACATCTGAATTAAAGAATTCCAGATTGAATAGCATAAAAATCATAAAGGTACTAAATTCTAAAAGCGCACAACACTTCTCGTGCGACCTTTATATATTCACCCAGAAGCTTTTATGTTAGTATTTAAGCAATGTAAACACTTTGATGTTCTGGAGTTGTTCTTTTAACTTCACATAGGAATTACATTAAAATAAATATTAAATGGCAGATTTATGACTGTATCTGTTTTAATGCAGTTGTTAAAGTGTGATTTGTTTCCCCTGGGTGGTTGAAACGGCTAGGGTGGAATGTTAAGTATGCAAACTTTGTCAGATTTTGAAGAGGGAAGAGAGCAAGTCTTTGTGCTCACCTAGATACTGAAAGTTTCTGCCTCGGATTGAAAAACTGAGAAAAAAGCTAGAATTAATCTGACTTCAAATAATGAGAGAAGAACTGTTTCCTGTGACAAAGACAACACTTTTTTTTTTTTTAAAGGAAATCATTAAAAAACTTTTGTGATAACTTATACTGCCCTCTGCTGTCAAACAGCTTAATCCCAGATTAATTCTGATACCTTGACCTGATAAAAATACATTAAGTTTAAATTCAACACCATGATAAACACAGAGAAAATAAGAAATTATGTCCTTGCTGTATGCTTGATAACCAAGTTGATCATATTTATTTTTTTTCTTCCTCTGCATATTTTTAGGTATCCTCCTGATATTGTACCCACTGGGGTTTTCCTTCTAAAGCTCAAAGAGTATTTCACTAATTGGAAGGAAGTAGTCCACTTCAATTAGGACATGATGCACAAATATCTGGCCAAATGTTTATTCAGCCTGATTTTACACTCAGACAGACTAAGATGAACGTACGGAGGGGCATTTGAAATAACTGCCAATTCCTCAACAAATGTCAGACTTTAAGGATGAGGGCTTGGCTACCTTTAAACAAACCCTCAGAGGTTACAATGCAGCTAAAGGATAATTTTAATAAGCATGGCCTTAATATAACTAGTGGAATACACACAATTTGGAAATGAACAATGGAAATACAGGCAATATATCCTTAAGCACACATTTAAAAAAAACACAAAGAGACAAAAGAAGAGTTGAAAAATTGTAAAAGGGAAAAAAACAGGGAAAATAATGAGCATAAGAGTTAATTTTAGACATATTCTTTCATCAGATAGCTACAAATAATATGTCTAATCATTTTAAGGCATATTTCCTGATCTTTTGTTTCCCTCTGGTGGTGAAACATTACAATTACATTTTACAATGAAGCTGCATGCATCGTTTTAATTTAACAAGACATGATCATATCTAATTTTTCATTGGCTACAGTTATCACTCATTATTATAAGATTATGTCAATTTAATAACTATAGCTACATTTGGCTCAAAACTGACTGAGGTAGTTAGTGATGTTTCCTGTCGAATAAACATTCTCAAATAAAACCTAGATATTTCATAAGTTCACAGTAGTCACCTATTTACTTGTTTCAACTTGCAAAAAATGTAATTCACTTCAACTGGTAAAGGAACAGGTAGACATTTTATTCCATTGATGAAGGAAGTATTTCTCTTTTCTTAAAACAAAATGATGTGTTTGCTAAAACTGCCAAAGATGAACAGTCTGTGTACCTGCTTAACAAGTTTGCTCAAGCTCACCTATTATAATCCAACTTTATAAAACCAACAAAAACCTTAAACTAACACAGTATCAAAGTGCTGTACATTTTAAAAACAGAAAAAAATTAGAAAAAGCTCTTACAACATAGAACAGCTTTAAAACCCAAACATCTGACATAAAATGATGTAAAACAAACATTTCACATAGTACCAAGGCAAGGATGAAAAAACAAGAAAGGTTTAAGAAAGAAAATATAGGACTTTTACATGCGCTGTAAAATAAGGAACATGGACATCGAAAAAGTAGGTGTACAGTACAGTGAGGTTAAAACAAATAAATAAATTGAGGGATGATCTGTTTAAGTGCAAAGTGTAAACAGAGCAGCTGCAGGTTTGGTAAATTAACAGGTAAAGACATTGCTCTCATTGTACTCTCATTGTATTCTATTGCACTGTAGTTTATATCCAAAATTATTTCACAGTGATATTGTAAAGTCTGACGGCAGCAGGGATGAATGACCTGCTATAATGCTCCTTATTACACAGGGGATGAGATGATGGTTACAACCTGTGGCCTAAGTGGCTTGGACACAATCAATTGGTGGAGACAGTTGACCAAGTTGTGCGCTCAGTGTGATACTGACCCTCTACCTTCTGGGAATGAACCATGCATGAGCCTTCAAAGTGCTGGAGAAAGTCTGCAGTCACTGTGGCCTTTACACAAGAGTGGTGCAGTTTTCTGCAGAACTGACAGATTAAATCCTTTTTCAGTAATATCAATCAGAGCCTAGCCTCTGAACTTTACTAAATTAATACATTTGTTACTTTCTTATAAGCAATTGTACATTTTTTTAGGCTACATCATCTTATATTATGAAACTCAGCAATTATAAATAAAATTTTTATTCTATTGGTCAATATTTGCAGCTGGCATGTCAATATCCAGATGACACAGGTTTCATTGTTTGTCATTTGGTCAAAAGAAAGAAGGGTCAGAGATCAATCTACTGTTCAAATAACAATGTAAAGTTTCACAAAACTCCTTGATTGACTCTGGAATTAAAAAAAACAGCAAATATTACCCCAAATTGTGATTTAATTTGGGGTAATATTTGCCCGAGAATACGTCGAGAATCAAGAATCCACCTTTCGTATTCCATTTTCAGAGTTTTTTAAAGTGTTTAACAGAGACGTTAGCACCTCGACGTCGGAGTACACAGAGTGAAGCGAAAAGACTACAACTGTGTAAACAGGCCCCATTTCCGTTTCCGGTGGCAGCGGAATATTGACTATTCCTACAGAACTCAATGGGATTTACAAAATGCTAAATAAAACACTACAGGAACGTTTTTTCTTCACAAAACTTTTTTTGGAACGTCATTGAACAGCGCTGACGACCCGGTGAGTAGCATATTTTAAAAAAAGAACGTTTAAGGTTGTTTTAAGGACATTATCGGACATGCTCTATGCAAGCCATTCTAAAGCAGCCAGGGGGTGATTCTAAATGAGCCAAAAAGCAGAGACAGGAGCAATTGTCAAACTTTTGGTGTCGATCATTCGATTTCATCCTGGACACTACAGAAAATGGGCTTAAAGTGTAAAAAACCGAACTTCTCCTTTAATAGCCAAAACTTGCATATAATCTGGATCAGTACATTTAATTGAATTGTTCCTTGGTATGAGGCACACCTCTGGCAAAAATTTTCTAAAAAATCTTTTCATAATTTCATAATTGATCCTGCTAACAAACCAACAACGTTCCTTTGTCTTGTATTTTTGTTTCAGTAAAATACCTCTGGACTATTTCTGTCCAATGCTGGGGCTTTCAATAGCCACTGCTGCCATCTTCTGGTTTAGTGGACAACTGCTTGTTCTACCAAATATCCCTATCTCACAATGTTCGAGAAACTTTGAGGTCCCCTCAGAGCATGCATGCCCTGCGTTGGTGACCCCTGATCTTGACAAACCTGTTGAACAACCACAATTCATAGGATATCTGGTTTCTCAGGAGAAAAAAAGCACCATAACCAACCTTTTCCGGTAAGGGAAGGCAGGGCCTATTTATATGGCCTGGGGTTGTTTGCCAAGTTACACATCCAACCAAAGTTCCATTAAGACACTGGGGTCAAGTTTCTGTACGCAGGCAAATGAAGGTTCAATGTCCAAAATTGTTGATTGCTCTGGGTCATTTATTGTATACGTCAGCCCATAATTACAGAGTTCAAACTTTGCTTTTGTCCTTTCTTGCCAGCTCTCTTGGCATGTGACTTTGTGAGGAGAGATTACCCGCTGACACAAACAAGTCCTGGTTCTTCAGTAGAATAAAAAACAGTCCAGTGAGTCCAGAAAGGCAGACCAAGTTTTCCAGGCACTTTAATAAAATGGAACAATCAGCAGTGTTTAATGGTGCACTAAGGTCCCATAACACCAGTAATCTGCTTCTTCCACAGTCTACATTTACACAGATATCACTGAACACCTTGATAAGAACAGTCTCTGTACTGAGCAGAGAAGTATGACTGGAAAATGTTGAATAATTTAACTCATGAAGGGAGGTTGGCAGCCTGTCCAAGTAGGGCTGTAACTACCATTTATTCATTTATATATTGCTCGAATTGTGATATAAACTAAAATAATTGCAGTGAAACTGACTGTGGGATGATGAACTTGGTCTCTCACTAAACTGCAAGGTGTTTTATATTTGAAGAGCCAAAGGTTTAATCATCTTAAGTCATTGTCAACATGCACTGTCCATCTAGTAATTGCCAAACACAAGCTACCGACCCATGAGTCCTTCAGTCCATGGAAGAGGAGCATAAAGAGCTACTAATGCAGGTGGAGAGCAGTTCAAGTTGTTGACAATCAGAAAAAAACATTTTCATGAAGATTTATGCCCAGCATGCAACTTAGACAGCAATAAAACATCAAACCAAAAGTTTAACCATTTTCCACCGACTGAATCAACATTCATTAAGGGATTGATATGTGAGCAACCTCTTTGGCTGAAAATGATACCTTTATTAGGCGTTTGTTTTCTCAGTGTTGGATGTTGAATTTGTATTACATTTCTGCTGGATCCCGGAGCTCAACCCAGCAAGGTTGTGTGCAGAAAAAAGATGACTTGGCCTTAGTTCAAGAGCCACCGTGGTCAGAGGCTTTAAAAGAAAGATGATAAAATCAAGTTTATAATGTCGGAAATGTCTGGCAGGGAAGACAGGAGAGGAGAAATTCACAGCTGAGCCTTTTCAAAAGTCTTTCAAAAGAATTATGTTTATGCTCCTTAAGACTCAGAAAATGGCCAGATTTAAATAAATTAGAAACATTTCTAGGGGAGCAGGCCACCGAACCCACCTAGAAGATCTGCCTCCGGACCTCAGTATTTTTTGGCCCTGCGTACGCCCTGTGTCCAAGTCAGCCCTTTTTGGTTTTATAGTAACCGTTTTAGGGCCTGGGGGAAAATACCTCACAAAATAGACAAATTGATCATTTAAGTTCAATCAGATATATGACAGGTAAAGCTTTCTTCAGGGAAGCCATGGGTAAAATATTGAGACAGCAGATGGAGGAGCTTAGTTGGTGAAGGATTTCTTTCTTTTTTGTAGTCTATTTGGTAAAATTATGGAATTTTTCAAAATAATTTCTAGTGTGATACAACTTTGGTCCTGGACTTGATACGCATACAGATTTAAAAAAGGACGCACTAAAACTTAAAGATGATGTGGAATTCAAATTACACACGCAGAGCACAGACAGCAAATTGCACTTTAGAGAAACAAATAAAATACAAAGGCATTTTATTTATGAAATAAAAATATTCAGTGCTTTAATTGAAAAACATAAACACAACTGCTTTATTATAAATTAACAGCATGTGGTAAAAAAAAAAAAAAAAACCTAACTCATAAACTGATTAAAAAAAAACTCCAAGTCCGAAAAAAAAGGAGTTTATAAGACCAGTGGAAGCTCACTTTTTATTGGCTAGTCATACACTTGAACCTGTTCTTAAAATAGAATACTTCATTATGAAGGTCATTATTTGCACTGTTAGAGGAGTATCTGAATTTCTCATAGGTCTTCTGTGCCTCTGTCTTAGTCCACGGCAGCTTGATCTTTGATGCATGGTTAACGATGACATCACTGCAGGAGCCAATGTGCAGAATGCCCAGAGCATCTATAAAAAACTCTGCAGAAATGACAAACAGTTGATTAGTATATTTAAGACTTTATTCAGAAATAAAATATGTAAAAGCTTCTGACCTAGATGTGCACTTCTTGACAGGCGGGGGTCAAAGCCAACTTGACGTATTTTGTCCGTTTGAGCCATAAAGAAGTTGATGACGGCATCTGCTACTACACAGTTGGGATATCCCTTGATTACATGGTGGTATCCATTCCTGATATGCAAGCAGTTACCATCCTCTCCCCCTTCTTCCACACTAATCTTGTGACGGTAGGTGGCAGTGTATCCAGTTACTTCTCTCACTGCACCACCAACCTAAGGTTTATGTTGAAACAAAAAGAAACACATTATCTTCTTTAATTTTAAGGTATTCCTTATTATCTAAATCTTTAAAAAATAAACTTTAAATCAAAAAAAGTAACAGTTAAATATATAATAATAGTGACAGGGGTAAGACATCCAATGAGGTGATCATTTACTGACCGTACTGACAGTACTCAGATAGCTTACCGTATCTAAAATTTTGCATGTGAAACCCATTATTTAAGTCATTCAGATAGTCTGAATTTTTTTATGTAAAATACATCTATATGCGTGCATATTTCCAATGTTATGAATTAACTCAATTCAGTTTTTTTATATAGCAACAATTCACAACAGATTATATCTCAAGGCACTTTGCAGAGTCGTCTGTGTAGAGCTAAATCAGTCTCATATTTCACAAATACACATGTCATTCATACATGCACAGGACAAGCTTCACACATACACAGCCAGATTCAAGCAAGCATACAAGATTCACACATGCACAGCACAATATTCGACAAAGTATTTCTGGTCCATAAACAATTCTAAATTAAATTACAAAGTACCAGTGGTCTTTAAACTTCACTGCAGTTGTGTGTGGATACTTGAGACTCTCCTGATATGCCTTGATACACAAATGCATTTTTTTTTTAAACAGGGGATGGTTTGCAACCAATCACAGAGCTCCCCTGTAAAAGCCAATCACAAGAAACTACTCTATGTGGGATGACTATTTGGTGTTCTATCAGCTCAGCATACCGCGTCAGGCCAGCATACCCTTAGTAATACGCATTACATAGAGTTTTCTCTGTCTCCGCCACCTTATGTCCAAGCGTGCTGTTTTATTTCGCGATTTAGTCCGATTTTTGTGGATAAAAACAACAAAAGTATTCGCTAGGTTCGTTACACACATTAGGTTTAAAAACAAACGTTAGATGAGCATCTTATTAAACAATGATTGCCGTTTTTTTCACAGAGAATTAAATATTTATAGGGAGAGGATTCTACAACCCAGTTGACAGGATATGATATTTGTTTTTATTTTTGTTTAATATGACTGATAACCAATAACAGTCATGGGCGTGCATGCATAATACTAAGGGTATGCTGGCCTGACGGGGTTTGCTGAGCTGACAACACTGGCCAGGTAAAGATCTGCAATTGCAATCACAGTCAACAGGAAAAGGAACCTTGAGATGATCTGGTTTGTCAAATTAAAACATGGTAACGATAGTGTTGGAATAATTATGTATAGGATACATAATGTTTGTTATTATGATGTATAATGTGTGATTCATTGCTTATTAACTCTTGCTGAAGATCGTTCCAGATAAATGTTGTGCCACGAGTTGTGAAAGAGGCCTGAACATCCTCTTTCGAGCTGAAACCAGTCACTCTCGAAACATCTATTCTCAGAACATTTATTTCTAACAAAATTACAAAGTCTCTAACTGGCTTTGATACCATTTTTAAGGCCCCCCCAAAAAAACAAGACCTAGGCCAAGAATAAGGCATAAAGATCCGAATCTGATCCCAAGACCAGACAACAACTGGTCAAGACTGGTTTTAAGACCTCCATCCCTGGTGGATATGGAATTACTTAAATCATACATTACCATTTTGACAAAAAAAATTTAACTACATTCACAAACCTGAAAATTATCTAGCACAAATTCATTGGTTACAATTAAACCACCATCTGACACACCAGACCCTCTTAAAAATCCACAGCTTCAAATCACTACCAATCCAAGGCTAATCAAGCAATTGTACCAATTAAGAAACACAGAGAAGATATAATCATCAGACCAGAATAGTACTGAGACTATATTTTACCATTTATACAAACTTTGATCATTATACTTTTTTTGTATCAGTAGTAGGGATGGAACGGTTTATGAAAACCGCCCGAACCGTTCGGTTCGACTGTCTCGGTTCGGTTCGCGTGTGTTGCGTTCGGTTCATGCGCTGCTCCATTTTCTCATAGGCGAAGCGTTTACACTCCAGAGCAGAAGGTGGCGGTACTGTGACCAAAGCCAACCACCAGTAGTAAACAAGAAGAAGAAGAAGCGAAGCAGTGTAGCCGGGTGTAGCAGAAAAAAAATCAGTTGTTGTGGAGAATTGTGTGGGTATGGCGAGTGGGATAGAACAGGAGTTGGAAGACGCGCCAGCAGCACTTATAGGTCTGCTTTATGGGACCACTTTGCATTTAGAGTGACCTACTGTACGATGATGGCGGAAAGAAAGTTGTGGATAAAAGTGCAACAGTGTGCAAGCATTTAGCAACACATACTCCATCAGCGCTCTGCTCCGCTGCGCTCCAGACTGAGTGCACAAAGCAAAGCCTAAATTCATAAATTTTTATAATTTTTATTAATTTTTTTATTTTTCGGTGTAACAATAAACATACCAAACCGAAAACTGTGACCACGAAACCGTGAACCGAACCGTGGATTTTGTGAACCGTTCCACCCATAATCAGTAGGCAACTTTATATCAGAGATGACAAAAATCACATGTGGGGCTCCCCAAGGGTCCATCCTTGGTCCCCTCCTATTCAATATCTACATGCTCCCTCTTGCTCAGTAAATAAAAAACAACATCATCATCTACCATAACTATGCTGACAACACACAGCTTTACATGATCATGTCACCAGGTGACTATGAACCAATTCAAGCACTGAGGAAATGCTTAGAAGAAATCAATGCCTGGATGTGCCATCATTTTCTTCAACTGAATAAAAAAAAAACTGAAGTAATAATCTTTGGACCAAAAGAGGAGAGATCTAAAGTTAGCACACAGCTTCAGTCGCTTCAGCTAGTAACCACTGATCAGGCCCGAAATCTAGATGTAGTGCTGGATTCAGACTTGAACCTCCAAAAGCATTTAAAGACAATTACAAGGTCGACTTTTTATCACCTGAAGAACATTTCCAGGATTAAAGGACTAATGTCTCAGCATGATCTGGAAAAACTAATCCATGTGTTTATTTTTAGTCGAATTGATTACTGCAACAGTGTTTTCACAGGTCTGCTTAAAAAGTGGATCAGACAGCTGCAGCTGATCTAGAACGCTGCTGCCCGTATCCTCACTAAGACTAAGAAAGTAGAGCCCATCACCCCAGTTCTAAAGTCCTTGCACTGGCTCCCTGTATCTCAGAGAACAGACTTTAAAATACTTCTGTTAGTTTATAAATCTCTGAATGGCTTAGCACCTAAATAAATCAGAGACTTGTTATCAGTGTATGAACCCTCCAGACCACTCAAGTCTTCTGGCTCCAGCCTTCTCTGAATACCTAGAACCAGAACTAAACATGGAGAAGCAGCATTTAGTTCCTATGCTCCACTTATCTGGAACAAACTTCCAGAAAACTGTAAAAGTGCAGAAAGCCTGAGTTCCTTTAAATCAAGACTAAAAACACATTTGTTTAGGATTGCCTTCGACTGTTCTAGTTAAACAGTTCAACTAAAAAATATTTTCTTTAGTCCAACTGTTTTTAATGTTCTTTTTTGTTTCTTTATTTTTTATTTTATTTATTTATTTTTTTCCTACTTGCTTTGATTCTGTTTTATCTTCCTGTATTTTAATCATGTAAAGCACTTTGCATTGTCCTTGTACTGAATTGTGCTATACAAATAAATTTGCCTTGCCTTGCCTTACTATGTAGAAAATGTAATATACCAGGTGAATCCAAGGTACTGTAGTGCAGTGAAGCCTGCAGTGAAGCCTGTATTGAGTAACCATAAACCAAATTATACAGGACTTTAAAAAATATAAAGGGAGATTTAGCTTTCTGGGTATGGTTCTCCATTATAACAATCCAGTGTTATGATCCTGGCGCCAATGATTAGCTTGGCTGCTCATTTTATTCTCCGGCCTAGCTCCGCCCAGTTTTTCATTACCGCTCATCATATCCACCTTTTCAGATTTTATTTAAACTGCTTGCACCCAGACATCAGGGCAACATTATTCTTGAACCTTTAGTGTGAGAATTATTCTAACCAATCTGATTGTTTTTGCTGTTTTACCTCTGAGCCTGCCTGACCTGTCTTCGGACACCTGCTGGATTCTTCCTGTGGACTGAACCTGGATCTGCCTCTTCACTTCACCCTCTGGATTAATTTGCCTTCCTTTGTCTGTTTGGAGCTGATCTCCTGTCACTTGTGTGATCTTCAAGCAGTGTTGTTTTCGTCAACGATGACATCCGGATTTTAGGTTCACTTATTGGGTCATCCGATAATCCTGGAACCAGCCACTGGTGCCGCCGGGTCTTTGGTACTGGTATTATTGGATGTGAGTGTTATGTGTGAATGGAAGTCCATGTTTTTTTGGCTCATCTCTACAGAGCCTGTGTGGTGTAAGTGGGAGCACAAGGGTGGGAAGGTGTGATCGAGACTGTGAGTTGTTTTTTTTTTCTTCCAGGTTGGGGCGCCTCTTTGGCTCTCCACAACCACTATTTAGTATTTTTCTTTGGATGAACTTTACATGCACAAGTGCACTCTCACAAACAACTACAGGTGCTTGGTTCCAGGTACTTCAGAGATTCACTTCCATACAGAAAGACCATATTCTTATCTTCGGGTAACACAGTATACATGTCATATTAAATAATACTACTTATATTTCAGCGATAGTACCAAGGTGTTTCTTTATTGTATGTCTTGTACACTCACCGGCCACTTTATTAGGTACACCTGTCCAACTGCTCGTTAACACTTAATTTCTAAGCAGCCAATCACATGGCGGCAACTCAGTGCATTTAGGCATGCAGACATGGTCAAGACAATCTCCTGCAGTTCAAACCGAGCATCAGTATGGGGAAGAAAGGTGATTTGAGTGACTTTGAACGTGGCATGATTGTTGGTGCCAGAAGGGCTTGTCTGAGTATTTCAGAAACTGCTGATCTACTGGGATTTTCACGCACAACCATCTCTAGGGTTTACAGAGAATGGTCCGTAAAAGAAAAAACATCCAGTGAGCGGCAGTTCTGTGGGCGGAAATGCCTTGTTGATGCCAGAGGTCAGAGGAGAATG